CGGCCGTTGTATCACAATATTCAGTAGCAGTAGATATTGTGGCGGTTTGAACGAAGCAGCCGTCATCCTAGTGGCCGACCACAAGATCCGAGTCATCAAAATTGAGACCTATTAGAGACACCCATCAATCATATCAGTCACCCATCAGACACATCACAACCATAGATCCGTTTCCCAAAAGACATATCCTTTAAGCAAAATGATCTCATCTTTCAATTTTGCTAAACACCAATAAAAGTAGTCATAAAGTCTAATATTGTCTTAAATTATTGTCATATTTTTAATTTATTATAAAACTATAAAATATGAATTATTATCATATAAATGTAGTCTCAATTTTATGTTTATTGTAATGTTTTTATAATTATATTTTAATTGAATTTTTTGTTATTATAAATGTTATATAAAATGAATTAAACTGAGAAATGAATGCAAAACTTTTAACCAAAAATTATCTCATATTTCATTTTTGATAAACACCAGCAAAATGTAGTCATAAAAGTTATAAATTTTTCATTTACCGGTATTTAAATTTTATTCAATTAAATGCTTGAAAAGTTTGTGATATTAGGAAATTAATTGAATTGTAAGAAAAAACAATAAATTTTGATTGAAAGACACACTGATTGTAGACTAAAATCAATGATTGAATGCCAGAATCGTCGGAATAATTGAATGGAAAGGCATTTATGTAACAGAAAGTTATGGTATGTATAGAATGGGAGACTGCTCTCCATAGAGGTTAACACATGTGAGGCATTCATAACATTCACTGTTTGAGTGATCACTGCATTGAAGCACTTGAGAGACTGTCCTTGACTTCAAACTTGAGATCTGTTATCATCTATATTATCATCTCTTCGCCAATTGTTTACCACAATATTTGTTTGTCTTTGTGCTACAAACCAGCCAATAGTACATTCACACAGACTTTCCATTGATTGACACAAATTCAGATCAATTCAATTGTTTCTTCACTACAAGACATTCAAAACACAAAGTGATGGCAAGTCTTAAGTTAGTGTCCAAAATAAATGGCAAGAAATCGTTGGCATCGATGGCGCCAATGGTGAACTCTATAAGACATCACCAGTAAGTGATTCATAATTGATTGCACACCTGATCTAACCCCGAGTATTGACATCAGATGGTGGACTCAAGTAGAGATGGGTCCGCCCGACGCCATCCTCGGTGTGACCGAAGCCTACAAGAAGGACACAAACCCTAAGAAAATCAATTTAGGTGTCGGTGCCTATCGGGACGACAACAGCAAACCATTTCTACTGCCGTCTGTTCTCAAAGCCGAAGAGA